TCCGTAGCTCTTTCGTGATACTCTTCTCACGAGTCTCGCTACGTTGTCGGCGTTTCTCTTGATGTCAGCGATGAGACTGCTCTGCTCCCTCTTGATGGTTACCGTCATGCCGAGAATTCGAACTTTTTCGGCTCTCGGTACGTCGATTTTTTGCAGCTTGAGGTAGAATTCCATCTCTTCTCTTAGAGCTCTCTGCGACGGTGGTCTGACTAGGAGCGCCGATTTTTCAGTTGCAAGCTCCAGACCCATCTTTGCAGCTACTTCTTTGACAATTTCTACGCCGGCTTTCATCACTTTCCCCTTGTATGGTGAGTGGTGCGCTGTCCAAATCGTAATGTCGTCAGCGTAGATTGCGTGCTGCAGCCCCGCGACTTGCTCAAGTTTCCGCGACATTGGCAGCATGGCAATGTTGAAGAGGAGCGGAGATATTACTGCTCCTTGAGGAGTTCCGCTGCCAACATTTACTGGGAAGGTTTCGGACGTGTCTCCTTCTAGCTGAATGCTTGCCGTCCTATCTGATAGGAACGAGCGAACATAGTTGTACGTTCGCTTCCCTAGTCCTAGCTCCGAGATTTGCCTGAGTATAGCCGCGTGTGATATGCGATCAAAGGCTTTCTTCAGATCAAGTGCTGCTAGGGCGGTCCATTTCTTATTGTCTTCTTCCTCTCTGAGCTGTATAAACACGTCCTGCGTCGACAGGTGTCTTCGAAATCCGAACATCTGGTGCGTAAACAGGTTGTTCTCCTCCATGTACTCTGGAACACGTACTTGAATAATGCGTTCAAGTAGCTTGCCCACGCAAGATGTAAGGTAAATCGGGCGCAAGTTCTCCAACATGAGTGGCTTGCCCGGTTTCGGTATAAAGCAGACCGTGGCGTGTCGGAAACTGCTTGGAAGGTTTTCGCTAGTCCATAGCTCGTTAAAGTATTCCGTGATTCGCTCCACGGAATTGTCGTCAAGGTTTCGTAGCATGCGGTTCGTAATCTTGTCTTGGTCTTGTGCGGAAGTTGTTTTGACTCCAGCCATGGCCTTTCTGACTTCGCTTTCGGTGATGGGCGCGTCCAGCTTGTCGTTTATGGCCCCTTCGTATTCCGTTGGAATCTCAGTAGTAGATGGCGGAGATTCTAAGTATTGCGTCCTGAGTTTGTTATAGATTTCGTCATCCTTGAGGTCTCTGACGAGTTTCGCTAGGAGTTTGCGCTTCTCGAGTTTGGTATCTTCCGGCGCCAACATGCGCCTGAATAGGGTCCATGGACTCTTGGTGTGAAGCCTTCCTTGCAGTTCGTCACATATTTGCTGCCACTGTTGTTGATTTAATTTCTGAGCGTGTTCTTCTATCTCCTTACTGAGCTTGGCCGCTTTTTTCCTCAATTTACGGTACCGCTTTCCGGTGTTCCTCCATCGTCTGTATATGGAGCGGTAAGCTTCTAGCATATGCTGGAGTTTACTATCCATAGTCCGGGCTTGGGTAGGATTTTCTACTTCGGTCGTAACAGACTCGTGATCTTCGACTAGCTGAGCGCACCATTCTTCGATCGTGTGCGACGGCCTGTCTTTCCGCTTCTGCCTGAACTTGTCCCAGTCCGTGCATTTCTGCGTTGGGAATTTTGCGCTCTTGTATCCGGGCAGGGGGACCCTCGTCTCGATGACGTAGTGATCGCTGCCGAGATTTTCACGCGTGTTCAGCCACGTGTAGTCATCGATGTTGATACCAAATGTGAGGTCCGGGTTCGTGTCTTTCTGAGCACTGTTTCCGATCCTGGTGTAGTCCGCAACTTCGTTGAGGAGAAAAGCTTCGTGTAACTCGGCTTGGTTGGCGATTTCCCTCCCCTTGGGTGTGTCTCTGCCGTAGCCCCATATGGTGTTGTGCGCATTGAAATCGCCCAGCACCAGTGTCGGATTTTCACCCGCTACGCGGCTCGTCTCCGCAAAGACCTTGGCGCATGCGCTCGTGGTGTCTTTGGGGTTCGAGTAAACGTTACAGATGAATAAGCCTTTGTGCTTCTTTTTCTTCGGTATAATTTCCGTGACTATTGCTTTCACCGATTCATCCAGGTCAACTTCGTGTTGCTTGACTGGGAGATGTCGTCTGACGAAAGTATGAATCGTTTTTCCGGTTGGCTGAACTTCTGCATCGAATCTTGCGTACCCTGGCAGGTTACATTTGTCTCCAGATTCTTGTACCGCTATAATGTCCGGAGGAGTTTCCGTATCCATGATCAACATCTTGAGCGAGTTGATCCGGGCGCAAAGTCCTCCGCTATTCCACTGCCACACGACGATGTTATTACTCTTCTCCATTGGCGCGCTGTTCGAGCCGCTCGAGCCGTTCGAATACGTTCTGGAATGCCTTGTCGTGGTTGTCCATTCTCTGTTTCATTTCGTTGAGCATAGCCTCAAGCCTAGCTAGTCCCACCAGAATGGCGTTCTGGTTGGGCTCTTCTTTTCTTCGAACCTTCCCGGGCCTGCTGGTCTTGGTTTCGTCACTTGTCTGCACAGAATTGACGGTGCTCTCTGAGTCTGTGCGCTTACGCGGACGTACACTGGGCAGAGACGGAGGCGGTGCCATTTCCACTTCTTGGACTGTCGTCTGTTCATTAGGCGGTTCCGTAACCAGTGGGTTTGAGCCGCGCCTCTCCTTCTGTAGCTCCCGTAGGAGTTGCTGGTTGAGTCTTCTGAGCTCTTCCTGTTTTCGCAGGCTCTCCTCGTGCTTGCGTACGAGGTCTTCGTATTTCTTTTCGAGCTCCTTAATTCTAGGATTGGAGTCTTGCTTCTTCTTGCTTGCGCCTTTCTTCTTGCGGAGGGTTTGAGCGTAGCTCAGCTCCTCTTCCGAGTCTTCTCCCGCTGTAGTGACGTTACTCAGTTCTGGAAAATTCTTCTTTCCCATGTCTATTTTCACCGTCTCCCGATCTTGTTCTGGAGTGCTCTTTTTCGGAGACCTCGGCTCGGGCAAAGGCTTGTATCTGTCCTTACATTCCTTTCCTCCGGTGTAGTGGCTGCCGCCGCAGATGACGCATCTGGGTTTGCACGTATACTCCGTGCGCATGCCTGGAATTTTCCTGGGGAAGTCGTGCTCCTCGCCGCAGTTGGGACAAATTTGGCTGAGCCCGTACGGGCAGGAGTCTGCTCGGTGTCCCATCTCTCGGCACGATGTGCACGCTTGCTTTTTCTCTTGGTATAGGTGGTACCTATTGGCACAGCAGTAGAATACTATAAATCCAGGAAGTTCCGTGGTGTCGAGGGTGACGAGAATCGAGGTGGTCCGGCCCATCCTCTTCGCGTCGGATATAGGTATCTTGGGGTTCTCCAGTTTGAGTTGCTCGTAGATCTCCTGGTCCGTGAACGGGATAGAAATTGGGAGGCATTTGGAAACCAACTTTTCTTACAGACTCCTTTCGGTTGGCCGTGTACGCTTGGGTTTCTACTTCTGCTCCCTGGTACTTGAGTGTGGTGATACCCAGGTACTTCTGCGCCCTTTGCTTGTCCTTTGTCCTGATAGTGATCGTGTTGTTCATGGTGTTCTTCGTCACGAGGTCCGTACCGATCTTGTCTCGAGGCGATACTCCGGTCGCGGTGGCGATCGCGGCCGTGATTTCACCGATGACGATAGTCTTCAGGTCCAGTCCTTTCGTACGAATGATGATTCCGTATGCTCTGTCCTCGTCCTTTATGGTGGTCCGGAACTTCCTCGACAATTTGACTCGAAGCTTCTTTCCACCCACAGTCCTCCATTGCGACTTCTCTCTCGCCGCGTCTGTTTCGGGTGAGCTGGCTTGCTTCTCCTTTTCTTCATCGCGCTTGATGTAGTTCATGAGTGTGCTCCCTCGCTGCTCCCTCGTTGCGACCGCCATGGCGCCTCGTGAGGGACGGAGCGTTAGGCCTAGCGCTAGGCCTAGCCGCCCGACTTGAAATTTCGTCCGAAATAGGCCTTTCTTGCGGAAGTTTCGTGTAAAACGACGATTCCGTGGCTTCGCTATGTCGTCAGCTGATCGAAAAGAGTTAAGACTCACCCCCAAGGGCCCAGGTTCCGCGGCGAAACGCCGAAAATCCAGGAGCGCAAGGGAGACGCGTCCGCACTGCTCGACGTCTCGAGAAAGTCCTCTGTTTCCGAACACCGAGCTGATGACGAACACAACACCACCATTTCTCCCGCAGCGGCCACTCGAGGAACTGCACGTGATTTCTATTTTGGCTCTAAGAAGCTCTAAGAACAGATACAGCGGTAGAGGTTACAGGGGTGCCACCCCCGTCTCCTCGGCGGACTCGCCGCGTTCAGCTACCGAAGTTAAAATGCACCTAGGGCGGGACGAGCTACCTGAAAGGCCCGCTGAGGCATGGTTGTATAAAAGCAATATTAATTGTGCCGCAAAACCCTGCAACCTAAAGATTTTAAAAACATCACGCGCCCATCATTTGGTACTAAACTCCAATAAATTTCATACAAAAAGAGTCTTTTCCATTTGTTTTTACCCAAAAAACATGCTTTCTAAAAGCTCAAGGTGACCACAGTACAGACAAATGATAAAGAGTGGCGCTGCTGTCGCATTTAGCTCGGTCTCGGTGGACGCCAGCGGCCCAGGTTTCGACGGCGAGTTTCCCAACTGAGCGTTTTAGTAACGTTGAAATACAGTGATCTCCTATTTTGACCCAAATCAGCTACATCAAATTCAACATGGCGTCCGTCACGAAAAAGCGGTCTATAGACCTTTCCAATACTCGCCTTCTGGGCGTTGCCATCTTTGTCTAATGGGCTGTCGAACGTGTTTTGAGCGGCATGTTTTAAAATCACAGTTGGCGCGCACCAGGAGCAGTGCCTTGTCTGCCATAGCAAACGTCAGTGATTTTCTACAACTTTCCATTGTGTTTCAACAGGGCGTACGTACACCATTGCACGTTATTCTTCAAGCAGATTTTTTCGTTGTTATATGTCAGAGGTGTGCATTTTATTTTGCCCTTGTTAATTTCTCAAGCTATATAAGACGTGAAGAAGCTGGCTAAAAGCGTTGGTTACGACTTATGAGAACCTTTAAACCGCTGACGTAAAGTATCAGCATGTTCGTAGTGGTCCTTTTTATACCGGTTGTAGCCGGAAACATTTTTTTAGAGAGCGACTTTCGTCGTCTTCCGAAAATAACCGAAAGAAATAGTCCGCAGAGAAAGTCCTACACGTTATTTGACCCCTGCCTGATGGAAGAAGGTGAGACCGCTTTTTCTCACGTATCTCTGTAGAATGAACACTGTTTAATAAGCAGATCTATGGTTGGTTACAGCGTCACATTGGGAGTAAAGTCCCTGGCTTCACACATTATAGCGTCGATATTGGCATCAGATCGGAAATATTGTGCCAGTGTCAAAGGGAGACTGTGAACGTTTGTCAATAATGGTCGTTTTCTTCGTCGGAGTCAAGGATTGTGCTGTGTTCGTGCTCCGTTTACCCTCCGGCTGAGACTACATCTAAAACTACAATTACAAGCTATCCCGCGCTTCTGGCTTTGAGATATGCCTTTCTAGCGCGAGGACTCGAGAAGAACCTTTCAAACCCACGGTCTCGTGCTCTCATGCTTGCGGAATTGGCTGCAGTCTCCGCTTCAGAGTGAAAGGGGTAAACATTCCGTTCACTCTTAAAGGAACACTGACAGGGTATTTATGCTCCCGAAGGTTTTTATTTGTGCATGACATATAATAGCCCAACAACCCAGAACAGAATTTGCGGGTCAAAATTCGTTTTCTTTCCGCCCGAAAACCGCCGATCGGAAACTGGCCGGTTTGAGTCGCACTCACCCTCCCTCTTCTTCGTGGTCACGGGATGTTTTCTATGGTTTAGACACAACCACCATAGGTAATCGAAGCCGTGGGTCATCGAAGGCACACATTCAATACCAAAAATGTACGAAAATATCATACCCATTGTTTGTGGCTTCTAAAAAGCTGCAAATACGTTGACTGAAAAAAAAAAAAGTTGCACAGCCACTTCACTTTTGGTATACTTCTCCTCCTCAATATTTCTTCTTCCTCCCCAAACCTGTTTGGGTTTCGGTTTCGAGCAGTTGCGTTTCTGACTTTATTAAAACACACGTGACACTGTAGCAAAATATTGATTGGGTAGTCTTCAGGTACCAAAATGAATCGCCTGGAAAAAAACTTAAAACATGATTCTGGGGGATGTCAGTGTCCCTTTAACCTGAGACTTGAAGCTCCGCCTTCAGCTCGAGCTCGCTGGCTTCCGCAGTGATTCGGGATTAAAAACAGCGCAAAAGACGAAGGACTAGCCGGAGAGGCAACACGCACACAGCGCTGACTTACAACTGAGTTTATTCACCGCAAAATCGCAATATATATATATATATATATATATATATATATATATATATATATATATATATATATATATATATATATGCGTTGTCACGAACAAAAAGAAACCAAAGGAGGAATTCAGCCCATGTGATACATCGCCACGACACAGCGGCTGTGTCTACGATCCGTTTTATTGTGGGGAGCGCCATTTTAAATACTGTAGCGCCATCTAAAGTACGTCAGGTTCCGTGGCCTTGCTGAGTGGTTAAAAACATTGGCGAAAGTGCTCTTCTGTGTGCCGCGAATGGCGTTTTTCAAGTCATTGAGAACGTTCGTTGCCCCGCATTATGGCATCCGCCGGTGCGGTGACGCCAAAAGTGCTGCACTGAACGCGACACCGATAGAATTCAGAAGCGAGTACTCCAAATATTGTATCATTTGACAGCGATTGAATTTCCCTTCAGGTTTTTGTCTTCTTAGATTCAATACATATAGGGTTCGGTTTTTTCGGTTTAAACGAAAAAAAAAAAAAAAACGATAAAGGTCTGCCGAATTTATTTTGCCGAATTTTACCGAAAAAGGTCAGTATCTCTACCGCCGGGTGCTCGGGGGGGGGGGGGGGGGGGGGAGGAGGACATCTAACACAAACAATATTCTACCACCTGATTTGGCTCACTGCCACTCGCATACCGACACTTCTGTTCCACAGTTCTTCGACATTTAGAGCTTTCTGGCGAGATCCTCGTTTCTCTTTACTACAAGAATATGTATTCTTTTCATAAAAAATACGTTCGGAATATTTTTTCCAGAAATAAAATGGCACTTGGGGGAGCAGTTCACAGAAAACACAAAGTCCACAACATTCTGCTTAAGCGCTTGCAAAGAAATCGTGTTTATGAGGGGGTTCAACTGGTTCTTTCAGAAGAATGCCGCAGCCGTCTCGAAGCTAGAAGCGGCGACAATCGGAGAAAGAAACTACGAACACACAACAACACTAAAAGCAGAAAAGAGTTTGAATTTTATTTATTATGCACGCACGCGCATACTCGCGACGTGAATGCGGCCTTCAAAACAAACTCGCACGTATGATAAAATAGAGTCTAGTATTGGGATATATAGTAAACAACACTCTTCTTAGGAGCTGCAACTTACCTCACACAGCCTGGACGTGGGTTTGCATACGAAATCCTTCTTTCGGATTCGCGACAACCAAATCTTTCTTCTCTTCTTGTTTCGTTCCCCACGTGGAACCCCGCGCAGCTTTTTCCCAGTGCCTTGCTTGTTCAAGCAGCCCACAGCGCAACAACACGTCATGTCGGCTGTCACCATATCGGTAAACACACACACACACACACACACAAAAAACTTTCTAACGCGCGCAAACGTAAACCACACAGATTCTAGGCGTAGACTTCGGCGGGGCATCGGGGCTCGTGCACCCCCTGGTGAGATCCGGGGGGGGGGGGGGGGGGGGGGCAGAGCCCCCCTCCCTAGGTACCGGGCCCGGGCCATCAGCCTTACCGAGACGCTGTTTACGTGCCATGTAACGAGCTTCTAGTAGTTGCATGTAAACAAAATACCGCCCACGTTGCCTTTATTGACAAAATACATGGGAAATGGAATCCCAGCGTGCTTTCGTTAGCTTCAATCTCCAGCTCTGGCGAAAAGATAATGCGCACCCCCCCCCCCCCTAAGAACTTCTCAGCCTGCCCCCCCCCCCCCCCCCCCGGGAAAATGGAAAGTCTACACCGCTGACACAGATACTTGTTGCATCGCAAGCGCCGATGGTAGAGCCAGCCTCGAAGTCCGCGAGACGTGGGGACACGAATGGCGGACGGAAGTCGCAACCCGAAACCCAAGGGCCGCTCGGCCAATGAGACATAGTGGAGAGGAGGATTTTGAAGAGGGTGAGAAGGTTTCGGCGCCGGAATTTTCGAACAATGAATGGCGTTATACCTTCCCAGTATAGAGTGACCTTAGCTTTAGCTAATTGTTAGGGTATTTTAACTTAGGGATCAAGACCGTATGTGCTCTTTGGAAGGATGGTGGCAAGAGACCAATTTTGTACGCTCCATTGTACACATGAAGAAGAATCGGCACAAGCTCCCTCGTCCACTTCTTGTAGAAATGGGGCGGTAGTTCATTTCGGCCTACTGCCTGTTGGCTCTTAATTTTAACAATATTTGTTACAATTTTCTCAGCATTGAAGCTGGCGTCTAGCCCTTCCCGTCCTCTCATTATAAAGGGTTGACACTGCAGATATTACACTATTCGTTTTTGGGCGGGGACGTCTGGGATTTTCGAACAAATACCATAGTAATAAGATACAAAGGCAACATGAATTTAATTTTCCTCGGACAATGCCGTCCTATCTCGGCTTAAGAGCGAGACCTACTTTTATTGGCGTACTCTCTTTCAGCGTGTAAGTACCGTTTTGTTGGTTGTTCCGTATGGATTACTTGAAGGTTTTTTTTTGTTTTACAGTAACACCCTCGTATCGTCCTGTGTCGTGCTGTTCAAGTTGTTTTGTCAGGTTCTTGATGGTATCTTGTACTGCCCGGGCTGCAGACACTCGGGATGATAAAGGTACAACATATCAATGTTCAAGCGTAGTTCTTCCGATTTTTGTTTATCAAGTCTTGTGATAGAAGATGTTTCGACCGCTACCTCTGTTATTTTAAGTTTGAATACATCCCTTTCCTGGCACCACCCTTTGCCTGTCCAAGTTTTTTTAACAGTTTATCTATTCTTTTTTTAAATCATCGTTGTCGAGAAGCTTTTCATTTATTTTCCAGACTGACCATAGTTTTGGCGTATGTTTCACTGGACTTTTTTTAAAGGTTACGTTTACCTTCACCATACACTGGACATATAAGAATGCTGGCCCTGCATAATAACGGCTTAGGGCATCTTTATCTGACTCAGAAATGTATATATGGCCTCAACGCGTGCATGGGAGGACCCTTAGAAGTACATGTATCTTAGCGTATTTTTGTTGCCGATGTATCAATTAAATTACGGTGTTGAACAACAGTTCGCAAAATGTCTGTAATGAGGTTCTCAATTTGTTTGGGCGATGTTCTGTCTCTGAGATGCAGCACGAGCTATGTGGAGTTCGTAATCCTGAAGGGCTGGCGGAGGTTCAACATGGAGAGATGCTTCCGTAGAAATTAGGCTAAATGTTTTTGACAACATCTTCTTTCAGATACAATGCTCCTGAGGGGCGTACCTTCCTTGTGTGCCTTCGCTGTAAGAAATACAGAAAAATATTGCTTTGCGGGAGATCCGAGTGTTTTCTTGAGAGAGGGCAGATTCATCAAGGTGCAAAGCTATTTTTCTCTTGCCCCCAAAGATCCTGATGGTCTCGTCTTTAGTTCCTCAAAGTTCTATTCCAAAGCTTTTGCAACCTTCTCTTCACACTTACCTTCATCCAAGACCACGAAAACACCCGTCTTGTCTGATTCAAGCAATTTGACTCGCTTCCGACCCAGCTCTTCAACTGCGTTCCGGGGGGGATGGTCGCAGATAGAACGAACTGCCGCTGACAAAACGTGAGGAGACTTGGTGTACCAATGTCAATTGGTCAACCCTGAAGAATGAAAGATCTGGAGAAAATTTCGGGCCTTTGGAAAGCATTTCTAATGTACCTTAAAAAAGTTGTTGGTCGCAAAGTGTAACTGGAGGGTCTAACACAGCTTGGCTGGACTTGCGGCAAGACGCATTCAAAGAAGTGAGTATCATGCTCCAAGCAGATTCCAGGAGTGTGGAAGAAGAGGCTTGAAGAAAGATGAAGGAAGGATGGGTCCGATACCTTAAGTCAAATAGATTAGTCATGACTCCTGGGAGGAGATTCTCCATGAGCCGAAGTTCATGGGAGATCTCCTTCGGAGATGTTTGCAT